ATCTGAAGTCGTGCAAGCTATTTGACTCAAAAAAATTCAATGTAACGTGCAAAACCAAATGATAGCTTCGGCCTAGACAAAAACTGGAGATTCGTTACCAATAGACAATTAACATGGTTAGAACTGAAAACGATTTAAACATGTATTGGAAATCAACACTAGAAAGAAATATTCATAAATTTCAAGAAAACGAGTGATTTAAAAACACAAATATTTCTAAATGGGCATTAACGTCAGAAAAGACCAAGCAAAGGCAACAAATGAAAAATAAAAAGTTCGTCAGAAAGTTTAATTTTTGATAATTCTTATACGTATATTAGTATACATTAGAAAATTTCTTATTTTATTTTAAATATCCGATGTCTATTGATGGTAAACCATTGGCTGTATGCGGAGAGTATTGAGTGTTAGAAGCAAGGTACAGAATAGAGAGGTCGAGAGAAATGGCTGGCTGGATGCGCAATGGTTTCTGCGCATGTCGTCATAATTCAGAACAACTCGTCTCGTTCACGTCGTGCCTTTCCACGTCAAAAGTTCTGTTGTATTTACAGGACAATATTTACTCATATTCACTCAGAATAAATGAAGATAATATCAGTAATTTCAAATTTTACTCAAAGAAGCCTTTTTCAACACTAGCTAGATAGCTGGGTCGAGTTCAACCGCTGTCTGGAGGAGAATTCTAGCGGCTGGCTGCACTGATTGGTAGATTTCCGTGATCGACGTCAGGTCAATGCCGGAGCAATATCGTAACAGACGGACTGCGCGCGATCTTTCCTTCCTCTTCCTTGTCCCGTTCTCAACCTTCACAGGATTACAATTCCACACATGCCACAAAACCAGTCGGGAGCTAGGGCGGTTGTCCGCTGGTTGGGGAAAACCTCGCAAGCTATCCAACGGGGAAGATCACGGTCACCTCCCGGCATAAAATCATGCACTACTGTAACGGGACTAATGACATGAGCAGATGACGGGCCCGGAATCACTATTCAATGAATCAAAGAAACCTTTTAAAATGGCTCTTTATCGAGCCTTAAATATTCGTAATACAATTCTGCCGACCTGGATTGTTTAGGTGGCCAAGAGCGTGTATCGTCTCAGCACTTCGGTCCGAAGAGTAGCGTGATCGAGTCCCGCTTTGGGCATGGTTGTTTGTCTCTTGCTCTCTCGTGTATGTGTTGTCGCGGAGGGCCTCACGTTCTGCCGACCACATACCAAAGGGGTCCGCAAGTGTGCTGGTGACGAGTGTATTGTCGAATATGCGTCTCATCGGGACGCACAGAGTAACCGGCTGTGGCTGGATAAAAGCCCTAGGAGAAAAAATACTATTCTGCAGGGCATCTTATTTTCAAACTGTAGTACGTGAAATGTAATTGCTACTTTGATTTGACACTGACATATAGTGCGATTTTTATAAAGCTACTTCTCAAGGCCCGTCTTCACGATGGAATATGTCACGGCAATATGTCGCGTCTTTCTCGGCCTGTCACTAAATGTTGCATTGTCGCAAGAACTGCTAGAGCAACACCACCTAGATATATCTAGGTGGTGTTGGCTAGAGACGATCGCGATCATGCGACATTTAGCGGCAAGACCGAGAAAGACGCAAAATGCCGTGACATATTCCATCGTAAAGACGGGCTTTGAGAGGCACCTATATAAAAATCGCACTATAACCCATTATTTGGAAAGATCTTTATCAGATTTACGTGCTACGGTATTCAATCATGCACAATTTATTCTTGAAAAAAGTGTTCTACATAAAAAATAAAGGAAAAAACACACCTTAACATTTTGAAGCAATTAAACGTAACGTCTGCACATTTTTGTCTTTCGCGATTAAGGTATGCTTCTGTTTTTCTGTAACAATTCCATTGGTTTTGAATCTCATTCTGATGTTTCTGGACATCGATCTGTACTGTAAGCCACGCTTATTTCTAATTGCCTCATTTTAGCCGTTTTTTAAAGATGGAGAGGTTTCCGCGACATCGTCGTAATTGTATTACATACTCATACTGCCACTTGTAAGAGGGGTACTAGCAACGATTTTACGTGTGATGTAAAAATTTTGTCTGTCCAACAGATGTATTGTTACTTTTATTAAAAGCTATCCATCCCCGAAATTATTTAACAATCGTATTCGATGGTCGAGTGAACAGGATTTCTTTACGTCGTGATGTTTCTCTTGAAGCAGAAAAAAAATATACGGCTCTCTAATGCCAAAACGGTAAAGGAAATATTTATTGCTAATATTTTGATGAACAGGCAGATATATTCCGTATACCCCCACTCGTATAATATTGATAAATCGGCCTTATGCTCTTATTAGCAACCAGCAAAATTACAATCATAATATCGAAACTCATCGTGTTCAGGTTTCTGTGATATTCTATTTCCGGCGCCACAAGCACATCAAAATCCGTGGTACTGAGGGAGTTTGAGGCAGCCTGCACGAGCACCGACCAACAAAAGCTCGCGCAAGCGTTCTCCTGTTTGGCTAAAAATAAACGCTGACCACTGAAGCGCAATTAATCCAGTTCACCGCCACAAAGAAAATTGAGAACTCACCCAAGTCAGGAACATGGCAAATTATTATGAACCTGAAATAGAAGGTCCAGGGCAGCAGTAGCTTATAGATTGAGAAACAACGAATTCACACGCCCCCCCCCCCATATCAGACATTACACTCACACACTGAACTAACATCATAGAATGTACAGAAGGTAAGAAAACAATAAAACGATAGACTTGGAAGCAAGTTGGCTTTTCCCTTCATTTCCAGTTAGGTGGACGCATTTTCTTAAAGCTGTTTTCGTGAATTAAAGTAAATTTAATGTTTATGTTCATTTTAATTAACTTTCGTGACAATGAACACTTTCAAACCTTTTTCCACAAAGAATTAGTTTTCTGACTCGTGTCTCCGCTTCTTCAGAAGTTTTCTACGGCTGCTAAATTTTGAAGACTTAATGTTTTATTGGCGGGTCCGAAAACTGAGTTACTTTTCATTTTCAAGGCGGCGTATAAGTTTATATATATATATATATTAATCGACGGTTGTTGATTTTTTAAACTGGTTTTGCCAGCTTTCAGAAGACTTCAGCGTAAACTTGAGTGTAACCTGTCCGCATCAGCTATTGTTGTATCGAATAAAATTTATATTTTCCATCCTTCAGAACTCGTCAATGGCTAAAATAGTAAATTAGTTAGTAAACATGTAATTCAATTTAAAATGCAAGTAATTGACTGTATTGATTCGCACGGTGACATACGTAAATAAGTCACTTTCCAAAGTAGCTAATACAGAAGTATTTAGTGTGTCATGGTATATTTTGGTGTTAATTCATTATTGCGCGTCAGCACTCCTCAACAAGATCTCGTATATCGACAATTGGATTAGCGCGAGGTCTGCGAGGTGGCGCTAGCAGCGCTCCTTGGATTTGTTCTCAGCCGGCGAACAATATAATCGATACGTTTATTACGAAACTGCGGCATTAAATAAGTCATTTTAAGTCATTAATTCACTGAAATCCGATTGGTCTGTGAAAATGGACAGCGAGGGTTCATTTTTAGTGACTTGTTCGACGGATTGTTCTTTCAAAATATTTTTTATAGAGTTACAAAAAAATATAAAGACTATTCTAACAACGTAGTTCCGATTCATCCTTCGTAAGATATTAACATTAATTCAAAACATCGAGTTCCAGTATCTTCAATTCACTGCATCCAAGTCTGTTTTCTAAATATTAAAATGAGAACTAATGCTGACGATGGGCGCAAAAAAAACGTAAATTTCGCAATTTTTTCGGTTGAAATTCACTAAAATTTCTGCGAAAAGGGAAAATGATTCATACTAGATAAACCATCGGTTTGAGCTTTTCATTAATCCCTGTTGATATCTCTTTCTCTTTTACGTTCATTAAAGGCAATGGAGTTAGGTTGAAAACGTACAGCAAAAATATGTGAATTCCATTCTCATACACAAAACAAACATCCTAACGATAATGCAAAATGGTAGCCAAAATTGCATTCATCTTTTATTACTTCCAAGAGGGGGGGGGGGAGGAGGAGGTCAAAGACAATTTGTTTCCTTTTTTGACTAGAGCAAGGAAACCAAGAATGACCAGGATAGAATCTGTAGGTGCTGATAAGTAAGATTTGAAGTTTGAGAATGTTGTGAGGCAGCAAAGTTATAACATTAAATATGAATTTTTGTCTTTGTGTATAGGTTGACACAAAGAATGAGAGCGGGTCTTTCTTTTAACTAGGAAAAAAAAATCCAGCCTATGAATATATTCTCAATGAACATAAGTGAATTCAAAGAATGGCAAAGGCTTTGAGGAAGAGAAATATACCTTACCCTTTCTCATGACCTACTAAATTGCACGACATCAGTTTCAAGGACATTTTTCATTCATAACACTTCATGAATTATTAAAACTATATATAATAGTCCTGGTCAGATCAACCAATTCTTTGAACATTTAATTAATAAAACTATTATTGGGAGGGAATGTAGGAAAGATTTCTAGTAGTGTAATTTTATCTAAACAGTTCTTTAACATTTTTCATGATGTAAAATGGTGTTCATGGTCACATTTCTTGAACTATACTGCAAAACTAAGAAAATATGATCAATTTAAGGTTATAAAGAAATGTGCATAGCCCTTCCAGTCACATTGTGACATGTTCTTTGACATGGAAAGTATGCATTGTACAAACACTATCATTTAAATATTTGGAGTCCATTGAGGTTTTTACCTTCAATTATCTTACTGATAATGAACAAGCTTGTACACTCTTAGTTCAGTGAAGCTTGCAAATGAACACATTGTATACATCCACACTGACAAACATCAATGCATTACATTTAATATAAATCATAGCAAATAGTTTGAAATTAGGATTAATTATGGATATCACTTGTTTTTTAAGACCAGATAAATTTAAAGAATTAGACTCTGCCAATCAGAAAGAATAAACTAATTTAAATTCTAATTTTTCACTTCAACATTGCTTTTAATATACTGAAATGCCTAAATATAAATGACCAAGTCTTGAAGCAGCAAATTATTTTTCCTCACCTAAAACATTTAGGATTCTGAGGTGTGTATAAAAGGGTAAAGATTTATGAAGCATGATCTCAACACCTTTGAGACAATACATTTATTTTAACAATCCAGATCTGAAACATGGAAAGATTAACATACAATTTTGCACTGGAAAAGCCATAGGAAAGGGATACATGTAAAACAATTCTATAACAAAGAAATACTGAAGTTATGAGCAAACCTTTGGTTTGAGCTTTTCATCAGTCCCTGTTGATACCCATAAAGACATTGGCACATTAGTTTTAAACATTTGTGACTAGAATGTTTTGATGTCATACTTGGTACACTTCATTCTACACTATTCAACCATCACAATAAACTCTGAAGAAAATAGGGTTACAAATAACATGGACGACAATAGTCAGTTCCCACTAATTATTAAAAAATAGTGTAAATACCAATCACAAAAATACACTTGTTTAAAAATATCAGACTGCTTCATGTGCAGCTTATACACACAAATCTTTGATATTCACATCACTAGTGTAAGTACATATTTAAATCATATTAACTTACACGATTCTCAGACATACAAATTCAGGATAGGCCTTTCTGTGCAAACATTTAAACCCCTTACAGCTAATCTCGCTTTTGCATTGACACATAACTCCACTTTTGCTCTTTAAAGTTTATAACTAGAACTGTGATATTGTCTAGCGAGCCACGGTAATATGATTGCAGAGTTATGCTTTTGGCACCAAAATGAGGCTCATTCAGACGCTCCTTGATAAACTGAACAGCCTCCTCATTGGTAAACGTGTCCCACAGCCCATCTGATGCCAGCACCAAGAACATAGGCTTGTGATCTTCTAGGTCAAAAGTCAGAATATCAGGATCAGCAATTACCAATTTTTTATCTTTCAGCGGGTAGTCGCCCAAAGCACGAGAAGTGGCAAGGATGCCAGCAACTCTCCACACTCCTGTGAAGGTAACAAATCCTCCAGCTTCTTCAATCCTCTTCCTTTCCCGCATCTGCACATAAATGAAACATTAATGCACCTTTCTGCATACGCAGATTGAAAAATTATTAAGAACACTGAATAATGAATTATAAGAACTGAATAATTACGGTGAGAATATTTGACATACTACTTTTGCACTAAACATTAAATCAAATTACAAAATTCATAAAAAGGGCACTTATTCTTTAGAGAAATTATACCCAATTCAAAATTATTAGCTTCCAATGTTTTCTTATCAAGTAGACCACTGCAACTTAGCAACTAGTCACAGCTATCAAGTTTGAAACAAATGTAAATCCATTCGAAAGTAAGTTCTTAATCCAAAATTACTAAATATAATCAAATTATATATTTGCAACAAACATGCAACACACCTGTTGTGGTTTATGGTCAAAAGAAAGAGGTATAGCATTCCCTTTGCTATCACACATAACACCTCGGGAATCTCCAACATTTGCCACCACCAAGCGAGATCCTTCCAGCAATGCTATTAGAGCTGTAGTTCCTTTAAGAATACAAACGCACAACACATAAATACAGACATAAATAAAATCTTATGCATTATAGAAGCAAAAATGTACACAGCAATTTTTTTTACAGAAAAGCAGAACAAAGGTGTAAGCAATAGCTGAATTACCAGCTACATCCAAGCTCTTTTTAGCAGCCTCCACTAATAATCGATCAGCGGCTAGGACCTCATCTGTAATTAAACTGCCATAATTAATAGCTCCATTTGAATCCAAATAACTAGTGACAGGTTTTGTGGGTAATGGCTGAGATTTGGTTGGGCGAACTTCTCTTGTGATTCTGGCGAAGCTGTCAAGTCTTTTTAGAAGCTCTGGGTCGGTCACATTCATCTGTTTCTTGACACAATCATCAGTTTGCGATGTACTTAACGTCTTTCTGAAACTTTTCTTTCTTTCAACCGGTTCGGTTTTCTTCTCGGTATCTTTGGCTCTCTCAACTTTATCGGCATTTGCACTGGGAGATGTGTATGACACATCTTGCAAATGTTTTCCTTCGGATATTAATCGTTTCAATTCGATAACTTTGTTGTACAAGTTTTGTATTAACTTGTCTCGAGCGTAATTAGCAGCGAACTGTAAGACAAAGAAGCATTCGGTTAAAAAACGCGGAACTAGTCGATGCTAAAAATACACACTGGTAACACGTATTCCGCATTCTCGGAACAACCATTGTGAAGCGCCAGATTTACTTACCTCTCCGCCGTGGCCATCAAATACAGCGAACAAAGACACGCCTGTTTTGTTGATATCTTCTTTTACCACAAATCTATCTTCCATGCGACCTCTCCTACCCTGTACAGCGTAAGCAGCAATATTTCCTTCTTTGAGTTCCCAACTCAGTTTTTCACCTCCCGATACTGAGCCATTCACGAAATACTGGAGACGTTGAACTTTGGAGGTAGATCGTCCGATTGTGTAATGCAATCGTCCCAGTAAAGTTCGGCTCCATACGTCGGCCGCTTGAAGATACACAATAATAACACATAACACAGCACTAAATATTAAAACTTCGGGTTTTAAGACATAAATGCGCATTAAACGCCACAAATAACTTATTGACGTCGAATTAATGGGAACACCCACAGCAAAACGAGATATCAACTTCATGTGTGACAGATAAGTTTGATACAATACACGATCTTCCAGCTCATCCTCCATTTTAGACTTTGGCCTTCAACCACACGTACGGGAGAAGATTTCGCTGTTCGCTGGAATAAACTTATGACGCGTGGTGAAATACGGCCAAAGAAAAGACACAATCAAGTTCCTACATCGCTCCTGCACAGTGGTTGCCGAGACCGCAGTTCTGCCATATTGAGTCGGCACCCTCGAAATATTTCCGAGGGCGCTGATTGAGCTTGGGACTGGTCCAAGTGGGTTGGTAGTAATTCAAAGAAGTTCTATGTATGCTCGGACCACTAGTGCATTGCGACAAAATAGAAATTCCGGGACGGTCGTGTTTTATTAACGGAAAGCGGCAAATCGTAGCATTCAAATAACCCAATTGAACCTTCAATTTTATCTCCGGATTAAAGGCAAATACTTATTTTTAAATATTTCCTCCCATTTTAACGCTAACTTGACACTTTTTAAATCTAAGAAGTTTCATGGCAAATCAATGCAAAACCTGAAAACTCAATGAGATTTGCATTGTTGGACACAATCAAAATGTTGCGGAATTTCATATTTGAACTTCTGGTGCTACAAAAAAACACACGATTTTCCGCATTATATGTAATAATTACGTAATGTACGTATAATACTACAAGAATATACATTTGTGAAATTTTTGCAAAATTTAAAAGATTACAGCAAAATAACAATTATGTATTGAATTGAACTGAATTGTTACTCAAGGCATTTAGCTCTGACCAAGCTCTATTTTATTTCAAGCAATATTACTTATATTTTGAAAAAAAAGGACATGACCTTATTAAAAGGTCTAATTCTGAAGAATCGATTTTATTCATGTAAATATTTCATTTTCAATATTGCGGTTTAAGAAAAACACAAAAAATGTGAACTTTTGCAACTTTTGAAAATTTAGAGAATAAAAACAGGGGCAAACAAAAATAGGGGCTCGGGGCTAGCTCATGGTCGATGTGGAAGCTTTCCAGTACGCGGCCCCAGTTCGATTCCCGGTCGAGCCAAGACCATAGTGTCCGGTTTCCTTGCAATGTCCCAGTACATGTTGCTGGGTGACGATCAGAAAATTCACTTCTCAGGTTGAGAAGATCGGAAAACGGCGTGAGATGTCTACGTGCTAACGACACGTACCCCCTAAAACATGACCGCGAAACAGGGACGTCGCCGGTAGGCCTGAGCACGTTCACGGACTGTCGCGCCAAGTGAGAAAGAAAGAGAAACAAAAATATGACCTTTGCCATTTTATAAGAGTACTTTGCTCTATCTGAGCAAAAAAGGAAAACAAAAAACATAAAGTTTGGAGTCATTTTTGAGAAAATATTTTTGGAGTCTTCTTCTAAAGTAGCAAAATATACATGAAAAATGAAAGGGGCCGTCACATCATCAAAATTGATCGGGGAATATCAATTTTGGTGAAAATCCTACTTACCGTTTAGCCACTAGCGTTCACAGACGCATACAGACGGACGAACAGACGGTTTGTCGTCAACTAATATTTCCTCAAGGACCCACAAAACTAGTATTCTGACTATGCAATGCGTTAGAGGAAGTATTTTATTAAAAATTGGAACAAGAATTATCCGCCTTTTCGGTATACGATACGATATAGTATTTCGGTATACAATACGATTGGACATACAGTACGATTAGAACATACAAAACGAATTTTTCTGCCAAAAATGGCATTTTTCGCCATATCATTGAAAAACTTCTCTGCACTATGCAAGTAGTAAGAGAGAAAGTAAAAATTAAATGAAAAATAAATAATCTTCCTTATATTTTCACCCTGAAATGTTTTTGCATTTTCCCATTCCTAATTGATAAAGAAACATAATTATAAAAAAATTCCAAAAATATTTATTTTTAAATATAAAAAAAACTGGCACCAAATAAAAACTCATTCATTGAATATGAAACAAAAAAGCTGGTTAGTCAGAGAATGACTGTCTTGTCTCTATGATGATATTTTGAGTTAACATTAATCATTTAAATTCTGAAGCTTTAGGTTTTTAAAAAAATATTATTATTATTTTTAATAATAATAAATAATAGTAATAATAATTAATAATCATAACAAATCACAATACCAATTATTGTCCTTTCCATAGAAAAGTACCAGGCCCTGGAGGTGGATGTGGTTCTTGACATCTCTTATTCTGAGCTCAATGTGTCTTCAGAATAATTTGGCTTTGTGATGAATCAAACCAACTTCAGATGACGCAGTTATCAGGAAGGAAAGAATCCAGGGTGACCTGAAGAAAACAAATTGAATGAATTAAATGGAGAAAATAATGGAAGTAAGCATTGAAGTCTAATGTTGGTAAATAAATTCAAAAATAGAAACATATAGAAAAACCTTTCAAGTTGGTCATTTCTATAATGCATTATATTGAGCACTTCCAAGCGTTGGAAGTTTTTGGTGCATCTAGAAAATTCCTTGCAGTAGCAAATCCAAATTACTCGGTGTATTGAGGATATCTCTATTCGAAGTTGGTAATCTTTTCTGGTTGCATTTTAAGAATGACTGACAACCATTCTTTGCCACTTTTGATAGCTGTCCATCAGGAGTTGAAAACCGTGAAGTGGTTTCAAAAGCAAATGGGCCCCAAATTCGCTCGCGATGCGTGACAATTTTATCCGTCTGATTTTGCGTCGTTCGTCTTTAAGTTTCCATAGGCATATGAAGCCTAAAACAAGAGGGAGGAGGGCATCTACATTTCTGGACCCCTCTGATCCCCCGTTTTCATTAAACATTTTAATTTACATATGACACATTTTATTAGAAAATAAATAAAACAGACAGCAAGGAGAGAACGAAATGATACAATTAATTTATACAATTATTAATTTTAAGTTGAACCATTTACAGGTTGTCAGTTAGTTTGGAGAGATTGATACCAGTTAACGTCTATCAATTCTCCAAATGAGCTTAAAAGGGGAAAAATAAGAAATTTATTATATTTACAGAAATGAAATGTTTTATTACGAAGAGCTTCTGGGCCCTAACGAATTTTTGTAGGGGGCCACGGCCCCCTGCCTCTATCTCGTGCGCACATCTATGCAGGTAGCCGACGACGCCCACAGATATCCTGTTCGTGTACTCAGCCTCGCAGTCGTCCGCAGAGCCAGACCCTGGATGAACGTTGTTAATCTACGGCCAGGTTGTTGACTTGGGACACTACGCATGATCGAACTACAGAGCCTTTAATTATATTTATTTATTTTTCACGTCAAAAACAGTTAAAAACTGTGTATGACGTGCTATGGGGAGAAGATAATTTGAAGTTACATTTATGTCCAGAAGCAAAACAAGGGCCATATCAGCATTTGCTCGAGGATCAGGGAAACTGGACGAAACTCTGTTCGAGATGGGGGTCATTGACTAAGAAGCTGAAGTACAATACTTGTTACAGATTCTTTACAATTATACAATCCAAATGATATATAATACATTAAATATCATTTTAAAAATCAATATTTCTTTTCTTTTGGATGCTCAGTACAGTCTCTAATTGTATAGAAACAGTTGTGCAGCAGAAAAGATTTTACTTGGGACTTAAACTTATGTATCGAATTTAATCCTTTAATGTCATCTGGCAAAGTATTGTAAAATAATGTACATGTATTATATGTGAATTTTTTGTAGTGAGCTGTTGATAGTGTTTCCTGATGAATGTGATTACTACGTCGAGTGTTGTAGTTATAGACAACGGTGTTTGCTGAAAATATATTCCCACTCTTAAGTAAGTCATTTTTGACAAAAACCATTGATTTAAGAGACAAGGTAATGGTGGAATACCTAGATCCTCCATATAGTATACAGCGTGTCTCCGTCCGCCGTTCGCGGTTAGACATTTTCCAGCCCCCAGCAGGGAGTTTTTGCCAGCAGCGTTCGACTGCAATCTCGATCTTGTGCGGATGCACAGAGGAACAAGAGATGCAAAACGCATGCGCAGAAGTTCGATAAAGCTGTCAATTGCTTTGATTGGGGAGTTTGTGCACGCCACACAGGACAGCACTCTCGATCTTCTGCGCCTATACACGAAAGGGATACGAAACTTGAACTGCGCATGCTCAGAAGATCGATAGTGCTAAAACGTTCGAGTGTGCACAAACTTCCTGCCGATAGGGATCACTTTACTGCATCTGCACATGCTGAGAAGATCGATAGTGCTGTCCGCTATGGAGTGCACAACCTTCCTGTCATCAATGGTTAAAGGGGACAAAAATTTCCTATTCCTGACGCTAGAGGCCAGCATAATTCAACACGTTCCTTTCTTACATAAGACGAATCGTTACGACTTGTTACATCAGATTGCCGATAATTCCAAGTAATTTTGTATAAAACATACATTTCCAAGAGAGCATTTCGATGAATAGCAAAATAAAAATATTTGCATGAAAATGTCTACCGAAAGGTCGAGCAAAACCAGCATTGAAATATTGAATACATGCATTTAAAATTAATATGAAAATAAACTTATTTCCACCCTTTAGTCTGTATTTTAATCAATTATATAGTTCGTGAAGAATTAGGGTCCATCGGGCAAATTTTTTATAACCTTCATTTATTTCATGATATTTCTACACAACCGTTTCGGGGATAGGGCCAACAATCCCGTAAACCGTTGCACAGAAAGATTATGAAATAAAATACGGCTACAAAAATTGTGTGTAAATTTCTATAAATAAGGACCCTAAACCTAACAAACAATTAAAAATAAACAGTAACATTTGAAATTTTAAAAATGAGTATTACATTTTTTAAATATTTATAATTATTTGTTTTAAAAGGCTTGGGGTCCCCTATTCAGGGGACTAAGCACGTGTTTGATCTTCCAGCCTTGGCCGTCGCCCTGAAATGTACGTCACTCGCCTCCAGTCCAGCCATTGTTTGCTGCTCAGCCCAGGGTCGTTTTTTGTGAGCGAGATCGAATATGCCATGCTACCAGCCCTACAGCGGTCCAATACTTTCCGGTCCCTGCTCGCGGCTCTGAATAAGGTTACCCGTATGCACCTTCAGGGTACGGGCAAACACCCCGGATCAAAAATCCCGAAGACAATCACGAATGATGGATACCGTAGGTGTCGGTTATGTCTCCCGGGTTGAGGCCATATGTGCTCTTGTTTACCCAGATGGGTAAAACCGTCGCCTATACGGAGCGTGGGTGGTGGATGTACATTACCAGAGGCCTTTAGTCCCTTCCCCAAAGAAGCCAATGATACTTAGTATTCTAAAATGCATGTTTTACTAATTTTCTATTCTAATGGGTATCATTAAATACATCGATTGAATGCATGAATATTAATTACAAGGAAACAAATTAAAATACAATTCTAATCAGCATGAAGAAAAAACTCTTTATAAGAAAACATCAAGTCGGCTGAACACTACACTTGCACACACACACCCCTCCCCTTCCCGAGAAAAAAGCGCCTCTTTACATTACTGATTTTCAATTCGCACAGAAATTGAGAAAAGGCTATGCTGACACCAGCCATGTGAGAAGGGTCTATGGAATTCATAAAAACCCGGGAAAATAGAAAAACAATGAAACAGCATCGATTTTGTCTAAAAAAATGCGAATATTTTATTGTGTTCTGCTAACTCTCGAAATGCCAACTGAATTCTCATACTCAGAGCTTACTCCGCGGCTGACATCGTGCGATAGTAAGGCTCACAGGAAGAGCCTTACATTAAATATTTGCCATTCACGAGTTGCGATATAAATCATCATTTTTTATTTTATTGGTACATAAAAAAACTGTTGTACTGTATATATTATGTTATTCCAGTATTCGTGAAGAAGATTGTTTTGTTGAAATATAGAATGTACTGGAAAATTATAATTCGAGAGTATTTTATTTGCTACTCTTGAGTAGTGTGCGACCTACTTTTTGGAAAACCATTTAGTGTGGTTCTGTTCAGTGATATTTTTACTGCTATAGGCCAGTAGTATGCTACTATTCCCTTAGCAATAAAATGGTGGGGGATCCTTAAGGGTGGATTTTAAGAGAATGGATTTTCCGGAGAGGAAATGTCAACTACTGCTTCAAGTTTTTTTTAGGAAAATGTGCTTCAAGCTTGAGTTCATGTTCGTAAAATGACCCGGTATTAATCAGACATCGATAGTGAATGTTTGTGCTTTTGTGAGTAATGCATGAGCTACTGGGAGTTGTTTAAAAATGTGTGGTTAAATAATCAAATAGCGGAAGTGAATGGAATTATCAATTGATAAAAAAACGAAGAGTTTTAAGCGCTTACGAAATGGTAATATTTGCTGAATCGTTGCAGAAGAATTCAGCAATTCAAAGTTGACTCAATGACAAATTTGGAATATTCTGAATACCCTATTTCCCTCATCGTAACACTCCCGTAACGCGCACTTAAACGCACCTACAAAATCACGTAAAGCTTGGAAAACACCCCTCCCCAATTACAAGAAGTAAAAATTAATTATATCTAAAAAACAACAATTAGAATATTTTTTGCGTGTGATGAATTTTAAAAGTTAGGATAATTAAAATCAGAATTAATTGACAATGGTGACTACACCTAGCAAAACGATTGGAAACAAGTGTGTTGGAGGAAGGACGGAAGTTTCTTCCAAGCCGTGCACACGTCGTCGTGAATAATGCCTCCATGAGTGACAATCTACTGCAACAAATTAATTGGATTCTAGAATATACGATAGCTCAGTGTTGAATGTCTTCTTCGAAATCTTACAGATTCAATACAAAATTATGAAAAAATAGTTCCATTAATTGTAACAAATGACTCATAATAACTTCAATTTATTTGTTTTTTAGGAATTAATTAAGATTTTAATGTTTTAGTATAGGACAGGATAAAATAAACTATTCCAGCAAATGTCGCCAAATTAAAAAAATAAACATCAGCAAAGAAAACTATAGTGGTGCTGCATCACATACTTCCTTGCATTATTTCTAACTTGTGCAATTTTCGAAAATCCATAGATTAAGAAAAAGAGTCTCGCGCCATTTGTTTAAGAATTGCTTGTTCTATTCGTAAGAAAAAAAATAAAGAAAAAATTAGGAGCGGTATTTTCCTTTTTTTATAAATTGTATTAACTTCAAGCAGACATTTCTGCAAAAATACAACTTTTATCAAAAAATTGTACATGACCTTTCTTAAATAGATGTTATTTAAGACGAAACTCTTTTCTTCGATATTACACTTTTGCAGTGTTAACTTTTTGCCAAAATACAATACTCAGACGATGCGATTAGCACTTCTTTTTGTATTGTTCTTTGATAGATTTTAGGATAAAATTTAAAGAAAAAAAATTGAAGTCTATTTGAGAAAGGCAAAGTGTAATAAAAAGTGTGGAGCAATTTTTAAGCAAATTTTGAAAATATTATTGAAGCTTCAAGTAAAGTATTTCAAAAATCAAAATATATGTTTCAAACTTCCATGGCTTTGAGTTCATTTAATTCGAACAAGTTATATCAATTTTGGAGTAAATCGGCTGAGTAGCTTAGGCGTCAGCGTTGACCACACGGGGACAGCCGGATGAGCAGACAGACGTTTTGCTGTCAATCGTTTTTTCGCTATCATGGACTCACAAAACGTGGATTCCGACTAAACAACGTATTAGAGGAAGTAATTTAGTATACGTAGGAGCAAGACTGATCCACTTTTCCTAGGGCCCGGCGATAAGGAATTTTCTGTCGAAAAATCGCCATTTTCCGACGCACAATTACAATACTTTCTCTTCTTACGAAGTAAGGTGAGAAAATAAAAATTATTTTCATGATCAAATATTTAACACACAATATTTAATTTACGAAATATAAGAAATTTCGTGTCAATTGAATCTGTGACTCTCGTCCTTCAATTTGGAATTATTCCAAGATTGACTTGACTGGAGGCATCGCCCCCCATCGGCACACATGCGTGGGATTACGAACTACTTACGGTGCGCAGATCCCGGAGAAAGCGCATTCTTAGAGCGTCGGCAGAGCGGTTGGAAACGCCAATTACGAGGCTAGCAACCGAATCATTAGGTAATAGAAATATTCCGTCTACTGCGTTTCGTTACAAGAGTCGAACACAGTAATCTCGAGAGTCCTCGTTGATATGAATTGTTGCTATATTGCAACACATTTCACAAAAAACAATAGGGTGAAAACATTAGTGTTTTCTCTGACAACTATCAACTAATATTGTACATTGAGACTAACCTGGAGATTCGTTGTCGACTGGTTCTTGATTCTAGCTTCTCGAAATGTTTTCTTCGAGATAGAAGTGAGATTGATTGTTACTCTATCTAGACAAAGAGATTCTCCTTTTAGCATCGCACTCTCCACATTAATTAATAATGAATAAAACAAATCGTTAGTTCATGTCGTTACTTGTTACACAAACTGATCACAAAAATGTATTTGCTGTAAAGACACTGAAACGTTTTCTGCAAGATTACGTCGTAATATCGTGCATTCATGCTCTAACCATGCACGGACGCCTGTTAACAAGACCCAGATTTAGACCTCTGGAGATAACTTTTGCTAATTAACTTCCTTATTCGTACTTAAATAATAAAATGACTGTCTACAGCACTGACAAAAAGGTGTATTTCCGAGGTGATTCACACAGATCTTCGGTAATGAATACATAAGGCTCCAGGATGTATTCGATTAAAATTAATATAGCTTACAACAGTAGCGTAACGAAATGCGTGCGGGCCCGCCAGCAGAACTTTTGTCCGATTATAAAAATTGTATAGCAAAACCAAGTAATGTTATAATATCATATATAAATCATAAAAACATCCCATAAAAATAGGACCTCTTTTACCTGGGCCCTAACATAATGCCACTAGCTTACAAATGCTAAACAAATGAGGACGTACAGCATTGTTAACAAGAGCTGACCCAAGGGGAGCTTTGGGGTGCTTCTCCCCCGTCCCTGGACGGAACCTGGAGTTGGCATCACCCGGTGTGTATTGATGCCTTTCCCTCCGAACTTTAACATAAAAAAATATGTATTACAATAGGAAAAATGAATATTTTATTGAAGACGGAACGAGATGCATTGGAGCGAAATGGCACGGCTCGAAGGAGCCGGCGGAACGATTGAATATTTCGCGTTTCCGGGTGCGTCAACTGCTGTGGTCGCTGGTCATAAATGCACTGCATGCTTTATTACGGAAAGCGGTGGTATCGACGCATGAGCTGGGTAGCCTGAGACATTTTATAAAATCTGTAATATTACAATATTCAACGAAAAAATGTTGAATTTCCCCTCCTAAAATTCCTGTCTGGTTCCGCCACTGTATAAAAAGACCTTGTTTTTAAACAGTATCGTATGATTTTAACATTAATTGAGGTTTTCTTTGTCTCACTCATGCCCCTCTTTCACTATGTTCTTCCTTGTACCAGAGTCGAATCCATGGGGTCATTGACAAGCCCTGTCTCCCACCAAAGCCAAGTCATTTCAAAGATATGATTTCAAAAATATTTATGCGGAGAGGGTTCAAATAGTGGATAGCCCCCTACTGATAAATATTTGGAATGCCCTAAGGGAAGTTTTCCAAACCAATCACACCAACCCCAAACGTCAGAGTACCTGTTAGTACCTTCCAGTATGCTTCTAGTTCCGTTTCTCTTTGAATAATAAGTTATATTACAGTTTTTCTAATGAAATTAAAATGAATCACAATCTTTTTCGCAATAGTCACCTGTCTCTAACTCAAACATCTATTTCAAAGAAAAGTACGGAGAAAACTCGTTTTATAATCATAAGAGAGGCAGAAAGACCGTGGTACAAAAATGGGGAAGCACGTAAATTTTGATAAACGTAATTTATCACAATATACTCTTTGATTTATCAATTGATTCTGTAAAGAAATTCTATCTTTTCCACATATTTACCATCAATATTCAACGCGATTTACAAAGACCTAACGGAATGAATCAACAAGCTAAGGTTAATGTAATTTATTCAATAATTATATGCAAATTTGTCGTAACAACAGACGGCGGAATGAGTCAGTGAATATTGTTTCAAGGAATTGTTAAATGCAGAATAGACGAGAGGATGCACTTATTTGATAAAACATGTACACTATATAACGTGTGCATATTAATTAGGCTTTTTGCATTCTGAATGACGTGCATTCGAAGGAGGGACCAACCGATTGTATGAAACAAACAGAAATCAATAGTCGTCCCCATAACCTAAATTCTTAAAGATGAATTTCACTCCATTATTCGAGTGCAAATGATTCATCGCAAATGTCTCACAGGAGGAACTGAATTCAAGATTTTATCACGTCATTTAGCAATACTATAGAACCATTGTGGCTTTCGCAAATTATTGTTCTTCTTCCTTTTCAACTTCGGAAAACAAGATATCTGGGAAATGGGCGTGGTACTCTACTATCGGATAGCTGATAATCACTCTCTCTCCTATAGATGTCTCTTTTAACACGCAAACAATACCAACAAGGTTCTAGATTGATTAAAAGAATGTGTAGAAATTATTCACAGCCTTCGAAAATTTGACAGTTCTGACCTTCTGGACGTGACATCACATCGAGAACAGCGTCTTGGATTATTGCCAACTTTGTCCGAATTGTTGTGAAAAAGTGGTTGAAGTTTCGTAGCCCCAAACAAGCTGTTTCACGTTAGGGCAAAATCGAATTTTCACTTCCCATGAACACCCAATTGTATGTTTTATTGTATAAATATCAGTATATTTCTCATGTTACGCTTCATGCATCCGAAACAGAATTTTCCTTTTTGCTTGTGATGGCTCCAACTTTTTTCAAGGAGTTGTAGTTAGTGATCAGCGTATATCATTTTGCTCTATGTGATCCATTAAATTAATCGTATGTATCATTGCACATGCTCAACGAGAGCTGAAGTAATATTTAATTGTAGCAAATCCGGGATGTCATTTTTGTTAAAAGACTAATGTGCATGGAAATCGCGTATCGGGAAGTGTTGGAACTGTTCCTAAATTCCGTTGTCGGTGGTGCGGCGATGGGGAGTATGTCACTTTGCTCTGTTCGCGCTGTCTTGTAAAATATGGACGTCTGACGATGGTGAAGTGCATGTATTTGGCTGTTGGGTGATTTAAATCGCTGTTATGCAAAATAAAATAAGTCTGGCAAGCTGTACGAGTGAAATCCGAACCACTGACCTCTCCTAAAGTTGAAGCTTGGAACATGGCACTGTGAAGGTCTCCTGTGAGCGCGAATTAGTGAACAAATTTATTTATTTCAAGTATTGGCCCTTGTAATTTATTTGGAAGGGATAATGGCCCATGGAGCTGCTGTTTTGTCGTCGGATATTAGCCGAAGAAACCCACAAGATGAATATGAACTTATTCAACGAATAGGAAGTGGGACATATGGAGATGTTTACAAGGTTCGTTTTGTCATCTACTTTGCCTGCCTTTTGTTATTCCTATCATATTTTGCGTGTAAAATAATATTTCCATAGTGTACATGGAATTGGCGACGAATTAACTGGTTGAACAAGTGCGACATGATGTTTTTGACATTTGTATTTCAAATTACAGCGAGAATTTCAAATTTTCGCTTACAGAATTAACCTATAATAAAATTTGAAGGAAATTGTTTTCTTTATACATAATACATTAAAATTTATATGAAACTTTGAAGAAAAGCTTGATGGGTAAAAAAATTATGAATGTGATAATCTTTGTTTTAATTTTGTCTTTGTCTTGTATGATGTAGGCTTTTACTTTCATTGCATCGAACTTTACCCAGTTTATGCTATCTTCCCATATGATAAGTCATGCCTTATTAGAGTGGTTTGCAGGTACAAGCGATTTGTGAAATAATAATTTGAGTGGTTAACTAAAATTTAAATTTTATTTCAGGCAAAAAGATTATCTACCAATGATTTGGCAGCCATCAAAGTCATCAAATTGGAACAAGGTGAGAAAGTTAAAAGATTAATTACTTAGTAGTACATGACATTGTGTCATGTATACTTATAGTTTCCTGTTTTGGAAACAAAGAATAAGAAAATACAGTTTTCATATATAGTTGTAGATGTTTATAAATCTTTTGATGTTCGTACTTATGTGTTTAATTTTTTTGTTTTGTTTTCAGGAGATGACTTTGCTATCATTCAACAAGAAATAGTTATGATGAAAGACTGCCGTCACCCTAATATAATTGCCTATTATGGAAGTTATCTTCGGCGTGACAAGTTGTGGATTTGCATGGAATATTGTGGGGGTGGATCTTTACAAGATATTTATCACAGTATGTTGAAAGATACTTATGTTGTAGTGTTATGTGTGATAATAGTGATGTGTTAAAAAAAGAGAAGATCTCTTTCATGATTATTACAATTTTTTTTAAAGACCCTTTCTCACAAGAAAAGAACTTGTCCTGGTATTTCTCCTTCTTTTTTTTTATTTCATGGAACACACTGGATTTGTTCAGCTACCTTCAAAATAGTTTTATTTTAATAAAACTGCATGCTTTTGAGTAGTAATTAAAAAATTTACTTTATTCATAATGAATTAGGATTGGTTGAAATGAGAGTGTGAATGACATATGATAAATTCAAAGATAATCACAATTTTATGGTACTTAATTACAAATATTGGCGGAGATGAGTGTAAAGACAATGTCTTGGGACATATCACTGATTGAGAAATTGTGAGTTCAGTCCCAGCAAGGAGTAGGAAAACACTTATGTGTTGAACATTAGTTTGTTTGTAGTGTATATCCAGATTGTATTGGTAAGCTGACTGTTCTGCTGTATTTTCCCTGATCCTCGGCCAAATACCAGAGCAGTATTTCTATATAGTGAGCCATGAATTGTGCTTGATATTTCCTACCCATCATCATCACCATCACCATCATCATCACTACCACTATCCATGGGGGGGTGTCTCATTCAAACCCACCCTGTCATAAGTGACAAATGCTGTCAGGGAGATCTTGCAGGCCCTGCACAGGACTGACGCTAAACACTAGAAAAATTAAAATTATGGTTTTGAACTTAATTTAAAGATTAAACATTGACCATTATATATTATGAAAGTTATGACAATTATTCAATTTTTTGTTAAATTGAAAGTGTTAAATTCTTTGTTATTATCCTTAGTTATACCAATTAGAATTGTTTGCTAACACTTTATTTAACATAACATTGCTGATGAGGCAGTTGCAACTATTTTACTTATCTGTTAATTTTTGTTAATTATGTATTTTTAGAATTAATTTTTGTACACAAATTGAATTTCAAACTCTTTATTATATGGAGAATGAGGATAATGTAAATTTTATTGAACTTCATATTTTCATGTAGTATAGGGTAGTTTTTTTTTCTTTGCTTTTTTGATGGATCCAAAAGCACAATTTCATTTTTCTGTTTTAAAATGTTGAAAGTTTTATTGCTCCTTTTCAAGTCTTATAATGCTCCGAGATAGTTTCTTGTTGTTCAGTATTTCAACAGAGAAATTGTCCTGTTTATTTTCCATAACATAAAAAGTTAAGTTAAAGACAAGATGTGAAATTTTAAGTGTTTATTTCATATTATGCATAATGTCAACATTGAACGTTTATTTTTGCAGTTACTGGTCCCTTGACAGAGCTTCAAATAGCATATATGTGTCGTGAGACTTTACATGGACTGGCTTACCTACACAGTATGGGAAAGATGCATCGAGATATAAAGGTAGATTATATTTGTTATTTACTTGAATATTTTACTCAGGATATTGACTATTGTTTTTCCAAATATGCTAGCTCGAGTAGATTATTAAAAATGTCAACCTTTCAAAGCAGTAATGTTTTTTATGCCCTTTTTGAGGCGAGAGTCCTAATTCTTTTATCATTGTTTGTTTTCCCTGTAGTAAATAGTGATTTTGCTAGTGGAAACAATTTGGGAAGAAGTGAAACCATATTAAAAGAAAATAGACAGATTTTGTATGAAATAAGAAAATATAGAGAGTTAATTTAATTCTACGCATTTAATAGAAAGTTGCTAATAATTGGAAGATATTAAGATGTAATGAACCATTTATGTCTTTACTCATAATTGTCTTAACTATAGATCTGTACTGCACTTCAGTAAAATTTGCGATTATAAATGCTCTTGAAGTAACACATTGAATATTGTGAGAAATATTCTCTAAATTGTAAAGCAATTATAATAAAGGCACAATTGTGTTGATTACAAATTTGATACTTCATAAAAACTTTTTAAATTCTGAAGTTCTATAAGCATAAAATCTTTCAGGGGATCCTGATGTTGTAATAAAATGTTTTGGGACAAAAAATAAAATTTAATGGGCATTAATTAATATTATTATTTTGAGGCTTTTTATTACATTCTGACATTAACAGACAAGTGATTTTGATAATGGAATATCTAATTCAGGGATTGTCTGGATTGTCAAGTTGAAAATACTAAACTTTGCATAAACATTATTATGTAAATTAATAAGGGTGCTGAAATGTTATTTATTCTGTATTTAGATAATTCATAATTATTAACATAAAGAAATGATTAACATTATTTTCATTTTTGCTTGAAATTCTAGATCAACCAAACGTAATTAAATCAATATATTAAAACATTTGTTTGTATGTGTTTATTTCTGATGTGTGTTTTACTTTTTCAACAACAACAACAACAAAAAAGGTTAAATTTTGTTTCTCTATGAGCCCTTTAAGTACAAACATTTCAGGGCCTCAAAAAGTGTAAAAATTGCTTTGTTGGGCAATGTTCAATTTTCTTTGTATTTTCAATTTGTTGGGAAAGTAATAGGGTGGATGATAAACACTTGAACATGTTATTTATTTATTTTTTTCATTAATAGAATGTTGGGCTACATCTTTTCTTTAATACTATTATAATCTATTTTGATATGAATTCATATAAACCGGGAATAGTCTGATATTGAATTTTATACCGTTCTTCCTCAATAATATATTGCAGTTTCTGCAACAAACAAGGAGCTGGACATCTGCTCCTTAGATTAGTTTATAAAATTGACCACAGTGGCTCAATAATGGTTAGGTCTCGTGATTGTGACGGCCATGGAGGTGCTAAAGTTCATTTGCATACTCTACAGTTCATGTCTGAACTGCTTGGGTTGTGTGAATTGGGTCACTATCACCTTGAAATACTGCATCCATTAAGAGGAAAAATATCTGTCTATAGAAAGCACCTGGATTTCTAAAATGTTAACATAGTCATTGGCGGTAATCCGTCTTACAAGGGTAATAATAGTCACTAAAATACCATGATGTTGCTGACCAAATTATTAGATATCCCTCCATGTTTTACTTTGGAAATTAAACATTTGGGGTATTTTGGTGTTCTTCACAAGTAATCTTGGTCTAGTATAAATGTTGATATTATGGAGCTTTTTTGTACTATTTTTGTGGAAATAGGCCTCCTTTCAAAGAGTTCTGCAGACACTTGCGCCATGGTTGATGGTTATTTGCAACAATCTCTTTCTGACAGAAGTGATTTCAGAGCGCCACTGCCCTCTTCTGTGGGTGTCTGTCCACGATTTGTTGGGGTCATCATTATCTTTGGCACTCTGTCCTTTGATATCTCAATGAGATTTTGATTACAAATGCTCCTCGTAAAATGTGCACTGACAATCTGCCCACTTAGAAATACTGACCATTTACCTTCTTTGCATGACATACTTATGAACTGTTGCACTCTAGAGTTTGAAATTCTCTGATAAGCACAGCCCAAAGAACATGAAACTATCCTTCGATTTTTTAAACTCGGCATATCAAAGTCATGCACGAAAAAGAGAGAGGGAAGACGGACTCCAATAGGGAGCCATAAAAGTGGGGGGCTGCAGTGATGTCGCAGCTCCCTGTTGGAGTGCCTTCTCTCTCTTCCTCTCTTTTTCGTGCGTGACATTGAGAGGCCACATTAAAGAGTTTGAAATATATCAGGTGTGCATGTGATAGCAAAAGAATGTCACAGTGAAAGTTCTCAGAAGTACTGGCTTGGGGAAAAAACTATGTACAGTGATAAAAAGGTTTTCATTATTCTACCCCCTGTACATAGTGTGATAAAAAAGTGAATTGTTCAAAGTTTTTATATATTAAAACATGTATATGGTTTGATGAGTATAATAAAAAAAATTTTAAATTTACTACCAAAAGATGTAAAAGGCTTTGGAAATGGAGTAATTAGTTTGTATGTTTCAACTGATGCCCTCACGAAGAACTTCTTATGACTTCATTTCACCTAATAGTGCCTTAGATAAATACACTATATTAAACATATAGTAAATCGTGTAATGTTGTATAAATTTATTTTAAATAAATATAAAAGTATATGAAGTTAGAAAATAGGATGTTTATATAACCTGAAAATTTATTTGTTAACATAGTCTCTGGTTGAGTGGGCAAATTAGATTTTATACAATTCCTTGTTTTCCAGATATCTTAATAGTAATATCATCTACTACAAGAAAGCCTACAGAACTTTAATTTTACATTTTATTTTGCTATCTGAGAGTAATGACATGATACAACCACTATCCATTGTTTCATCTCTTTGTCAAAATGATGGTTTCTATTGGTTTTAGGGTGCCAATATTTTACTGACTGAAAATGGAGATGTGAAACTTGCAGACTTTGGTGTATCAGCACAAATAACAGCTACTATTAACAAAAGGAAGTCCTTCATTGGCACTCCATATTGGATGGCTCCCGAGGTAAGTTGGTTTCCTTACATGGCAGCACTGGGCTTTATACTGGACTCAAAGAATAACTGGGGATTTTATTTGATTTCTTTTCTTTTTTCTTTTTTAGGTATGTTTGTTTTTATATAGTGGTGACAACAAGACTTGTTTAATCATCTACATCATATATGTTGGAGTAATTTTGTTTGACTGTAGCTGCATTTTTGAAGATCAGAAAATTAAGTTTTGATTATTGTGCATTGTAGTCAGTAGTCAGATATTTGAGGTAGAGGTGGAAAAAATAATTAAAATGTTTTGATTTATGATTCAACTCGTTTTGGGGGAAATAATTTTTTTATTAAATTTTCTTACTTGAAAATATAGTTATTAAGGTACAGAAAACTTTTTTTATGGAAATAAATTATTTGATTTGAACACTTTCATATATAAAGATGGATAATTTTTATTCCTTTTTGAATAAAATATTTTATGTTCATGATATTGTGTGTGTTGTTGACTTCAAGACATCCATACAAGGTATGTTCAGTTTTAATTCCTGGTGCCTTTTCAGCCTTGTAAATAAGTCTTGAGCTATGCTTTGTACACTTTCAATAGGTTCACATGTTTTTCCATAATTTTCTGTAGTGTTTACTTCAGTGGCTACATTAACGCCATTTTTGTACTTGTTTTTTCCTTCTGTAGAATGGTAATTGATAGAATTTACCAAAAAGTGATGTCTTGTTGACAAAGATTTCTTTTATTTCAATGTTGTGGGTTCAAATTGTAGAGCAAAGGTGAAATTCCAAAATTTCTAGTTTACTTCATCATTGAGCCACCTCAAAGAAGTTGGCAGAATGCAATTACCTTAATGCACTTATTGGTATTGCCCTCACCAATGCCATTGCTGTCTCACGGATTTTCATAATTCAGTCTTCACCCTTACACTGCCAGAGGCTTACTACTGTAAAAAGATGGAATTTTAAGAAAATACTAAAAAAGTTTTTTATATACTATATCATTTACATTTTTTACAATAACTATTTTTTATGAAGATTAGAAAATGTGATGTATTTTCAATCTGTGCGTTTTAAGATGGAATGATTATTTTGTGTCTTTTGAGAGAGAAAAAGAAAAAAGAAAAACAGTTTTAAATTTTTTAAATATTTTCCAAATTTAAAATGTATTGTAATTTCTCTAATTGTATTTTTGATTTCTGAAAACAATATGAACTGACTCTACATACATAATAAACATCTGAAACTTCTATTGTGTAATAACTTTTGCTAAAAAATTAAATTGATTAATAAGTGAAATTTTGTGTCTTGGCTACTCCATATTGCAGCTGTTTAATGCCACACCATCTAAAATACCCTTTCTGACTTGAAATACTTTAGATAGAAATATATTTCATTCAAAATTATCAGTTAAAACCTTATCCAACAAGATTGGAGACATGCTGTGTTCTTTTTCTTTTGAAAATATAAATTAAAAGCACTTACGCAGCTTTCAGGTACTCTAATCGGCATTTGGCAGTTTTGTTGCAAATGGCACATCAGGTCTTGTCAGAGTATGGGTTAGCATTTAGGCACAGTACCACCTTAATTATATTATTGTCATTTTAATGGTCACTTCTGTAAACTTTTATCAGTAATGACAACACACAAATTGTTGTTGCCGTCATTGCCAGTAACTAATCAATTACAAATTACTATATGTTTGATTTGTTTTGCACAATTTTGGGGACCAATTACTCAATTCTCGTTTTATTGGGTTTTAAGAAATTGTCTTCTTAATTGCCCTAAAGTTACTGATTCTTTTAGTACAATAGTTTTGTATTTCTTTTTACCCTCTACTTTTTAATTAATTCATGTTTTTCCCTTTCTTCTGTACATTTATTTACAAACAAATTCATTAATTTTCGTGGTGAACCATGTCTAATTTTCATCATTTGCTCTCTTCCTTTTTTTGCCATTGTCAGAAATGAAGGGTTACAAAACAAGTACTTACTTTGAACTGATATCAATTCTTAATTTAAGTTTGTGAGGTTATTCCAATAGTCCAGTTATTCAGCTGCCAGTGTGGCAAAAGAATAATAGGACTGGAAGCCTTTTCAACTTGGAGCCAAGGGCCGCTAATGCCACCAGCATCTGGACGTTCATCCGCAGGTAGCGGCTGTTGAAAGGAAGGGTGGCTACAACCAGCTGTGTGACATCTGGGCAACAGGGGTGACTGCCATTGAGCTGGCTGAGCTTCAGCCGCCCATGTTCGACCTTCATCCCATGAGGGCACTCTTCCTAATGTCCAAGAGTGGTTTCAAACCACCTACGCTTAAAGATCGTGATAAATGGTGAGTCGTAAATACAGAACTTATATTAAATCTTGTGAACTTTGGAACCTTTGAGATGCTTTTTTCTTTCTATTTTCACTTATAATTGAAGGGGGCTGGGACAACATTATGAAAACCCACATTTTAGTATTTTGTAAAAGCATGAGGCAAAATGAAGTTTCAGTAAACCCATACATTTTTCAATTTTTTTACTTTTCCTATTTCTTTCTATGTACATATTGTAGTTCTTTAACTTCTGTGCAGCATTCAGATCATAATATTGTTTTAGTGAAATTTTAAGATCTTTATTTTCGATGTGTGATATGCAGGTCATACTTTTATTGCCCTGATTTACTTTAATTCTGAATATACCCATGAGGTTTGTTAATTGATGTATGTTGCCTAGAGCAGTGGTTCTCATCCTTTTCCTTATAAAATTACATAATAATTAAAAATAATTTATTATTCCTTATCAAAATTAATCATTTATAATGAAAATATTTTTATCCACTTTGATTACCTGAAGTCAAACTTTACAAAATTGAGATGTTTCATAATAAGTATTATTAGAACCCAAGTGTTCTTATAAACCAAGGCCTCACCAACATTAGTGCCACCATGCTCAAGATTAGTAGGTAAATGTAATAATATATTTAAATGAAAATTGTAGTTATTGGAATTCAGAGCCAATAAAAATTAGTTCCTATTCATATTGGAATATCTTTACTTACTTAATTGGTTTCTCAGACTAATGACCTCATTTGATAAATATCCAGTCTCGTAATACTGTTTACTTGAGGGTGAGAATGTTGCTGAAAGAGTACATACATTTTTTGATAGTAATGAAAATGTATTTTTTATGATTCTTTTTAAAAATTAATACTGGTTCAGTTTTCAGATATCCTTCATTTACCTCAATTTGATAAATATCAGTTTAGTTTTTATTAAAAATGTAATGGCTATATAAATTATTGAGACCTATTTAATTTTTCCAAGAGTGTATGTTACATCTCACAGCTTGTTTTCTGTTTCTTGTACAAAAAATCCTTGTAACACATACTTGCTTGCATATCTTTGCTGTAACACAAACATAATCCTAAACCTAGCATGAAGTTGAATCTATAGCAAAAGAACATCCTGTATTAGCAATGTCCTGTATTGAATAATTGAAGGTGAAGTGAAAATACTATGCAAAACATAGTATGAAACCGACTGAAGAGGATCAAAGAAAATTTAGAATACAATCAGATAATATATTATGTGCAAGTCTGGAATTTGGAAATAGATACAAATTAATTTCTTTTGGTACGAAAGAGGTTCATGTGATTGTAGCGATCCACAGAGTACACTCTTAATATCCTATAACTTGCAAACCATTGAAGGGTGAGGGCCTACTACTTTTCAGCAGGGAGGCTCAGTGAGGTAACCAATCTTTCTGCCAGTGTCGTATATCTTAACATTTTAGCTCTTTTCACTTATAGAAGTGGGGGAAAAACACACACACACACACACACACACACACACACACACACACACACACACACTCTGATACTTATTAAAACAATAAGAGGATTGGCAACATTTCTGTGATTCTGATTTTCCTATCATCTACCTTTCTCAAGATTCAAGTTTCATTCACCCTCACTCAATGGACAAATAAATACCTTTCAGTGGAGTTAAATGTTCATAATCCTTTTTTATACATGAATAATTTCTAGGTGACTTAATTATTATATTTGTAGCAGGAGAATACGTCCTCATTTCATAGTTTAAAAATTATGAAAAAATGTATGCAAGTTTATAGGTCCAGAAATAAATGTGCTAATCAGTGAAGAAGGGGGAATTTATGTGTAATTGTTATATTAAAGAATTGTGAAGAAATTATATAATTTCAGTAAAAAAAATAAATAGAAAACAGAATAAACTGGGACAAAAAGTCTTGCAACATATGGACAGTATGTGAAGTAGTAAAAGTTTAAGAGAAAAAAATAGTTGAAACTATAGAATCTTGTAGAAGGAATTGAGTTGCACTTTGGAGCTTTATCGTTTCATGTTTTGGACATACGAATGTTATGGACATATTCATACTTTTTGTAAGGGATGTTAAGAAAATGTAATGATGAGGTGAGAATATTTGACTGGTTTTCTGAGATGAAAAGAAAAAGAAAGAAAACGAGAGGTTAGAGTGTTTGTGGAAAAAAGTACTTACAAGTGGTGTGGAGCTATTAGAAAGAGGTGCCTAAAATACAATAAATTGTGTAATTGTTTGCTGTTTAGCTTCGTAATGGATAAATGTTTTTTATTCCTTCCAAAATATCACTCGGTTTGTACTATTTTTGATCTAACCTCATAAATGTAAATAAAAATGTAAGCATGTGTACAAGAATTAATATTCTGCAAATTTTCAAATTAAAATTCTTCAGTTGCATGTTAAAAATTTGTAGTTATAATTCATGTATTTTATTTTAGCTTGAGAAAGTATAATTTCTGTTAGAAATAATGATTGAAATATGACATTTAAAATTAAAACACACTTTTTTTTAACAGGAGTCCCACCTTCCATAATTTTGTAAAAGTAGCATTGACAAAAAATCCAAAGAAGAGACCAACTGCTGAAAAACTGTTATTGGTAAGTGAAGTGATAAATCTTTCCTCATAAGGCTTTATTTAATCTATCAACTCAAGGGGTCAGAAATCTTTTTTGATTCAGATCATTGGCGTTCTTTATCTTCGAATACTTTTATGCTTATGTAAAATAGTTTTAGGTGATTAAGTGATTATTTTAAACTTTTTGGTCATGTACAACGAGTGAATTTCTATGATTTTGCATTTTTTTTGTTCATTTCTCAGTGCATAACTAAAAGAAATGTTTGACCTTTGGTTAGGATATGATGCTATATAGATTAATGGGCATATTTGGCCAATTTTTACTGTTGGTGCATATTTGTGTAATTGTAGGTACATATTTTGCATATTTTGGTAAAATAACCACTTATCTATAAAGCATTTCATATTTTCATAAAATCTTTATTTGTGAGCGTTCATTAATTCGAAAGTGCATGTCACATTTTGCGTTGTCTTGCTTTCAGTAGATCAAATATTTGTACAAACATAGGATATTTCTTGACAACATATTTTTAAACCAGTCAAAAGAAATACAAGACGTACAATGTACTTCACTAAGGTGAATATTTACTTCTACTTTTGCAATGTAGGGTAGATTATATTGTGTTTGTACAAATATGTATATTTTCATTCCAAGCATGCTTCTCCTGAATTTAATCAAGTAATGTTTATGTAGGAAATGAAAAATTGTTAATTTTAAATGCATATTTAAGTGTATATTTCAGATTTTTTAGGGCATAAAAATCCTCTCCATAGTCATATACGTGCTAAGAAGCAGTGGTCTTGGATTGTTGTATTGTACAGAGGAAATACTGTTAAAAAAAAAAAGAATATTCCTGATTTGTGTTGTTGATGGTTTTATTTCTTTCAATTTTTATCATCATGGATAGGAATTAAGTTTTCAAGCAATTTCTTATAAACTATTTTAATGTTCTGAAATTTATTTTTCCTGCAGCATCCTTTTGTAGCTGGTGATATGAGCAAGAGGTTGGCGTTAGAGCTTCTACAGAAAGTGAGCAATCCATCTCTGATGTTTACTGACTTGGAAGCTGATGACGATGGGGTTAGTATCTAAGATCATGGTCTGTTTTGGTTTTGATCTTAATTTAAAACATTTTAAATAATGTTCTTTGACATTTAAACACAAAATTTGGCTCTGTTGTTACAGGCTGTTCCTAATGTTCCTCAAAGGATAGCATCTAAACAAACTGCTCCTAGAGAAAAGGCCAAAATGGCTCTTCCTGACCCTCCTAGTAATCACAATCGTAAGAAACTTTTAGTAGTACTTTAACTTTAGATTCCTAGGAGTTAAAGTATCAGATTCTTAAATTAATGAAGAGATTGTTGCAGTAATCGTGCATGAACCTTTTGTCTAGTAAATTGGAATTTGATGTATTATTATGTTCTTGGGAAATACTGAATTGCCAGTAGTTTAATATTGGATTTTGGCTTATAATTTATTACTTTGCTTTGGGTACTAATTCATTATTGTTGTGTAATTATTGGCTAGTATTCAAGTACTTTTGAATGTTCTGAAAAATAGTTTCAGTGCAAATTATTGTGTGTGTCGATGTGACGAGCTGCTCCAGAAGCAGATCGGCTTCAGCAAATTCCCTGGAAGAAACATTGCAACCATATTGCTCCATTTTATGGATGTTCCCTTGACATTGTGGGGCTCCAACTCACTTTATAATGCTCTTCACTGTAGGTTCTCATGGTAGACTCAACTTGTACCTTAAGCATCACTCGCTGGTACTTTCCATGTCGGTGTTTTAGGTATTCCATTTATATGTTGTCAACATGTTTGTCAAAATCTTTAATCAGGGTAGCTTCCAAATGTTTTCTGAATTGTTGGGAAAATATTAAGCTTTTTATGTCATGGCTCCTGCATATTTCGTATATTTTTCTACCATGTTTACGGCTCATCATATCTCCAGAGAAACTTTATACAATTTAGGAGGAAAATTGTTGGGTTAAAATGTGGTCTTCCAGGATATCTGGAGAAGATTTATAATTTGAGATGCAAACAAATGGACCATTCGTAATCACAAAATTGTATGTCATTGTCATGAAACTTGCAGATATTCAGTTCTTCAAAGGAATATTAGAATTGTTAGGTTGCTTGTAAAGAATGATTTTATTTGAATTTTTGTTAGAAGAGAAATAGTTTGCAGTAGAATAACCGGAATTATTGTACTTGTTTGTTAATTTGACTCATTTGATTTGTGAATTGCAGGGGAGGAAGCAGGTGATGAATTAGAATGTAGTTTAGATGCTATTACTCCTGTGCCACCACAGTTTGCATATGTGACTAGAGCTTGGGACATCATGGACATAATGAATATAGAGGTGAGATTAATTTTCATTTTCATATGATATCATGATTATATTCATATGATTAATTCATATTTTCATATGATTTTCTTTATTCTGAAAAGCCTATAAGCTAAGGAAAAAAAGTGAGCTAAAATTAAAATGTTTAAAAATAATAAATAATTCCAGGCTGTTGCAAATTTATGCTTCCTTTGCAGATTAGGTACTCGTCCTTAAGTATTATTACAAAATCTTTTTTTTTTCGAACTCTGATATCAAAAAGTTGTTTCAATCCAGATTGTAGGATTGAATGTACCAGTTTACAACAGTGAGATTGAAAGTGTGCAGAAAATTAGTTTCAACATGTAAAGTGGGTGTGGATAGTAACATTCTTAATGCTTTACAAAACAAATAAAAAATATGTTTATTTGTTTCAAATATTGATCAAGTCTGTGGCACATGAATCTTCTGTTGCATCATTTCGTATTCATTTTTGTTGTTGTATAACAATATTTATAGCTTTTCAATATCATTGTATAAAAATTGTTTGTATTACGTGTTTGTAAAGGTTTAATGCAATACTCACAGGATTTGCATCCCTTGCTCCCATTGTTATTCACATTCAATTTATTGGCCCAAACTTATTCATAATACACAATTACAGTGGGCAGAAACATGTAGTACCTTTCTTATCTTCACTGCAAGCAATGAAGTTCAAGCCAGAATTTTCTGCAGAATCTCTTGTAAAGTTTGTAGTAGAACTTATTAAAAACAATTTTGTATATGGTCAGATGCCAACATACTTACTAATTGAAGTTTATATAGCAATATGCATTTATAAAAAAACAAATTGTTTATAGCATTAAATAATATCTCTTTATGATTCAAACAAAAAGATCTTTCGGTTTATTGGTAGTGATTGAGTTTAAGAACAAAAGATAGCATTTTATTTCTTACCTCAAGTTTTTAGTGAAAGTGATTGTGTGTTGTTGCAGCATGTGCCAACCTGTGATAATCATGATTGGCCCAAGGGGTCTGTATTCGAAGAAAGTTCTACAGGAAATGAAAAGTAAGTTTCTGTAATTATAAATATGATTGTTAACCATCTAGTATTGGTTTGCTAATCATAAGGGAAGGGAAAGAGATTGATTTCTTACTTCTGTTTAATTTGTGTAAACTATGCACTGATCTTGTCATTCACTCATTCATGTGTCATTTTCTCATTATGTATATCACTTCTTTTAGTTTTATGTACTGTGTTTCTGGATATCTTACTCTTCTTTCCCACTCACTGAATGTTGTGTCTCATATCTGTGTGTGTTGTAGAATGTATGACGTGGCTGGGGTTGACTGAGTGTGTAACAGCTGTGGTACCTGGCTCCGAGTGGTGTGCTTTTCTCCTTCCTTTGTGTTGCGCTCTGCTCTGTTGCTTTCTTTAGTGGAATCTATCTGTTGTCTCTGTCTGCCTGGCTGCCGCCCGCAGGCACGCCAAGGCCCAGGTGGATCGGGGGAGCCATGTAAAATGTGACAAGGGCGACAAGGGCACCCCCAAGCAGGGGGGAGGGGTGCGCAAGCCCCGTCTGACCGGCACAGCCATCATTAGAATGTCTCTCAGGTACGCAGGTTGACTGCCTCTGCCCTGCCCGCTCACCTGCCCCGCCTGCCTGCCTGGTCACTGGGTTGGTCATTGTTTGTGACAGTACTGCTGGTCTGTTGTAGTTTCTTGTGGATTGAGTAATGAATCTGTTTGGCAGTGATATAACTTTCTTCTCCTTTCTAAGCTATCAGTTACTGAAAATCACGTTTTTGTAATTTTAACTTCAAACTGCTAACAGTTTTTAGCTCTACTAATGTTTTATGGAACTACATGATTTATGTTGTAAATAAAATTTAGAAGCAGTGGAAATATTAATTTTGAGTTATTTTGTTGCAACTGTATCTGAACTGAAGATCACCTTATCTTCTCTTGGTTGCAAGAATTTGTTAGTGAGAATTTGTTCTTTGTGCTTTTGCTCGTGAACTATTCCCAATTGCTCATATTGCTCTATGTTTTATGATGTATCCAATTATGCTATGAGGATGTTTCAAATTTTCATTCTTCAATTTTTTGCTTTTTTTGTTTTTTGATAGTCTGACTAAGGTTGGGGTCCATTCAGAATTGGCAAAAGTTGCTAAATTCATTTCTTAATGATAAATATACTTATAGTACAAAACTGCTCAAGAAAATGATGTTTATAAAAGTTAAGTAATCTTTACTTCATAGAAATTCTCTACAATTAGTTGATTGTCTTGGCTTCATGGATAGATTCTTGTGACCACTGAAAACTGCATATTAACTTGGTTGCTGTAATTAAAGATACCTAGGTAAAAAAATATCTGGAACCTTTCTGAATTAAGAGCATATTATTTACAAAAAATTTGTAAAGTCAGTTAACGGACTCTTAACTACTCTTATAGCTAATAATTTTAATTACGTTCACGATGAATAAAAAAATCTAAGTTTCCCTTTCGTTTATTGAAGCATTTCTTTACAAACTTTCAAAACTTCTGAAGTAACTGTGGTGAGTCTTCTACCTGCTATATGTTGTAACAAATTAACAAAATATATTTTCTTTACTCAAGAGTTTTTGCATGGTATAGTTTGTGTCTTTTTGCTGTCCATTCATTAGGAGGAAGTGTTGCAATGTAATCTTGTTGTCTTTCTAAACTTGTTTGTAATTGATGGCAACATAACTTTTTGCAAGGGAATGAGCCTACAAAGTGTGTTCTGTTTTGATATCATTGATCTCTCACATTTTTATTCCCCCTAATGTGATTCATTTTTAATTGGATAGTGTTATTGTCAAAATTGTAGTTCATTCTTACTTGATTCATGTCTTATGATATGAATTTAATGAATGAATTAACTACTAATTGTTAAAATTGTGGTTCATTCTTACTTAATTCATGTTTTATGATATGAATTAAATGAATGAATGTTAATTATCCATTAATTACTTTAAAGTTGAATATACATTTTCGTGAGTACAACTTTTTTCTTGTTTTTATTATTGATAAATTTATTTTTAACGTAAGAGCCTCTCAAGGTTACTACTCCCAAATTGTAGTTCTGTCTGAAAATGGTAATACTATACTTGTTTTATTAAATTCTTTTGTATTCACCTATCAAAAATAAAATTATTTTATGTTCTCTAGAATTTCCATAATTTTTGTTTGAGACGCCGAGGCAGGATGGTGAATTCTGTGGGCAGGACAAGGTGGAATAGTTGTAGTAATACTAACTGGTCAGCAGTAACAGTTCTAACAGGGGCTTATGAAATGCAGGTGACAGCATGGTGGTAGAAGACTTGTTTCTCTGTTTTTGAAAGTAGTGACTTCAGGTAATCTGTCTTGTGTCTTGTAGGTGCATAGTTGAATTTGTCTATGGGTCGTTTGCCTTGAAATGTGTCTAACCATTGTATATCTTCAAATGTGTTGTCATATGATTCTGAGAGGTACTATTTTTCTACTGTTGGAACTTCTGTAGGTGTTTGTTCTTACTAGTGCCTGGTGTCTAGAATGAAGACTCTATAAAAGAGTAAATTTGTTTTAGTTCTGCTAATAACACTAATATATGTAATTAACTTTCTTAATACATTCTTTCTTAGAGTAAATCATCTGTGTAAATAATAAGTAAGTGCTCATTAGCATCATTATGCATGATTCATTTTTCTCGTTTCATCTAATGAGTGTAGAAGAAAAATGAACAATTAACTCTGCAGATGAAAAAAATAAAGTAAGTACAAATAATACAAATTTTTTTGCAATGATTATAAAAAGAAATAATCTATTTCTTCCTTTGGCATAAACTCTCTTGATAGAAATTAAATAAAAATCAAATGGTGTAAACTGAAGATATAATTCAAATTTAAAATGTGAGAACACTTGGTAGTTGCAGTGAAGTGTGATGAAATGTGGCGAGTACTGCGAAGAAGAATTTGATTGTTTTTTGGGTTCATTTTTCTTGTTTTGATCACAATTCCATGATTTATTCTGGTGAACAGCCCATCATCTGATACTGCAGAGATTGAATCGCTCCTTTGTTTATCTGTAGGTCCCTCCTGCAGTATATAGACGAGGAGCTAATCCTGAGGTACAGTTGGACGCTCAAGTAAAGTACCAAAAAAACTGCATGTATTTGCTTCCTCTCTGATGGGCTCTGGGCATGTTCACATTTACCAGCTTCCCCCTTGCTCAATTTTCCCGGACTCCTTCAAATACTCATGCAGAACTGTTGAAAAGACATTGTCTTGGTGAAGGAAACCTGAGTGCATGACAGCAAAGAAATAAGGCTTCAAGAACAGGGCACAGGCTGTTGTAAAGCATAACACGTAGAATCTTGATACACATATTAACACCACGGCAGATCTGTACTTTCTAAATAGAATAAATTTTGTATTATTTGTAGTTGTACAAGAAATTAGAGCTATCGTAAGTTTTGAAAAGCAGGTCAAAATCTTAATTTCTTCAAGATGGAAACCTTTAAAAGAAAAATTTGAATTGTAATTATTGTTGCGTAGTTTTACCTTGTTAAATTATTTTATTTCTTGGTTATATTTATGTAATATAGTGAAAATTTATTATTTTCATTCAGGTTCTCTTCTACTATTTAAAAAAAATGATAAAGCTTTCTACCCGTATCCATTCTTTGTGGTTTTCATTGTGTATTTTTCTTGTAACTATTGATTTTTGACACTAGTTAATAATTATTGTTGTAGTAAATCTGTGTTGTCACTTGTTCTATTGTTATCTGCCATTAGCTTTTCTACTTCCATGCTTTTTTCTGTGATAGCTAATGGACTTCTTTTTGTTATAATTACATTCCGCAAGTAGTCAGTAATCTGCCCTGAGAAAAATCCCAATGGATTAAAAATAGATTTTTCCCCAGAGAAGGAGATTTTTTTGACCTACATCTTGCCTAATGTTATTTAAAACATTAGATAGTTTTGTATATTTTGTATGTGTAATTAATTAACTTGTGTTTTTGTTTTTGATGAATCATTACATCATTCTAGTCTGCAGAAATTGTCTTGAGAACTTATTTGAACATTGTTGATCCATAAGCAAAAACAGTTATGCTTTATTCTTTTTTCTTTTTGAATTTAATTAATTTAATGTAGTATACTACTGATAATATGTGAGCAGAATAAACTTTTGAAATATAAAATTTACTTCAAACTTATTTAAAAATTATGTAAAAATCTTTGTCCGTATAGCGCGTAGGCTATCTAATTCATGGATAGTCTCAGTGCCGAAGAATCTTGTACAGTGATCTAAAATACAGGTCAGGAAAATTCTTTTCAACTAAAAATATGTAATGTAACAACAATGAAAGCAACAGTTTCAGTGGCTTCATAAGAAGAAGTGTTCTTAATGTAATTAACTGTAGATGAAAGGGTCTTGAACTTTCAGAAAAATTATAGCCAATGCTAATTAAGAAATGTTAGAATAAATGTTGCTTTTTTACCTATTACATAAGTGTCTCAGACTTTCTGTGAATTTGACATGATGTAATCCTTTATGTTGATTTTTTATTATTTGTGAAAATATTGGGATTACTATTAGCCCTGACATGTAATATTCATATTTTTATATAGTAGTAAATGCTACTTAGAGAAGAGCAAAAGACATAGAAGAGAGATTAATTTTTTTTAAATTATATTTTTAACCCCCCATGGATTGTCTATTTTTATTTAATTTTTACTTTCTTGTTGATTTATTTTTCAAAAATTGTTTTATTTTTAAATGAGACTCTTCAATTTTTGTTAAGTCCTTGGTTTTGCACATTTAAGTACACCAAGTGCAGATCAGCCATTTCACAGCCACCCTAGTATTAATTGATGCCACAGTAAAGTATTTCATTGACAATTGAGACTGCACTGCATTTAAGCTTGTAAAAAGAACAGTTTGGTAAAGTAGTGAAATGCTCTTCTGAGTAATGCTGGTTTGAAGGAAACTGTCCTGTACCTCAGTCCCGCTCCCTATTCAAACTGCTCCTTTCATGTAATCACTTTGAGCTCCATCTGAGAGTGCCCTGGGAGACGTTGCTTTCTTGTGCTTCCCCCTCGAAGAAGCAAAGTATTTGCTCGAATGGAGGAAGGCGGTGTCGGTCGGGTTTTCAGCCCTGGTACCCTTTGCCCTACGTAATGTTGGTGGTGAGTAACGTGGCCCCTTTGATTGAAGTACACCTAAATTTCGTTTTTGCTTTCTCCATTTTCCTTGTAATGTTTTGTCTGGTTTACATGATGATTGTAATGTGGAAAAAGTTTCCTTATTGACAGTTTTGTCAAAATTTTTAAATATCTAGAGCTTGGTGATTATTATGACAACTTTTAAGAATGCAACAAATATAATCAAAATAATACATTCAAACTTCCATTGTTAAATTAATACTTTAATAATGTCCGTATAGTTGCACCCTGTCAAAGAACATGCATGTCACTTATTAGTAGAGAGGACATATAGATATGTCCGTTTAGAGAATTAATTGCCAGAAATAACTTTGTTTTCAGTGCTGTTTCTGCCTCATTTTGACAATGAGAAAACTGCCTCTGCTTTAAAATTGTTGTAGTGAATAAAGTTACAGTGACTCAGGACAAAAGTGAAAAAGATTATGTAGATCTTGGCTGGAAATTTCTACTTAAAAAATATTTTTGCGATTCACTGCCTTGTTAAAATATATTTTTTGAGTATCTATTGCATTCTGATGCATGTATAATAATCAGAAGCATGTTTTGATTGCACAGCCCCGTTTGTGATTGTGTGCTTAAAGCAGAAATTTGTTGGGGCTATTTTTGCTAAGTAAAAGAGTTTTGTAGATAAGAAAGAAATTACTGATTTATTCCAGAAAGTTAATATTGCTGTTGGGAGGCATTGAGTGTCGTTCTACAATTTCCAAATTCTACATCTATAAAATTAATTAAAATCAAATTTAATTTCATGAATTAAAATGATTGTTTCTTGTTTCATATCGGTTCTTTTTGGTTTTATTGGTAATGAACTTTCTTTTGTGCAAACGTCTGTGCTTTCAAGTAAATTCCGGAGATAATAGATAACGTTGTAGGGGAAGTGTCAGGCCCCACATGTGGCGAGAGTATAAATTTGGTATTTGAGATTATTTTTAAAGTATTTACTGAAATGAGATGCCTATTAATCCTGATGAATACTATATTAATACACATTCTACCTGTTGTAATGGCACAAAACTCCTATTCGTACTATATGTAGCCAATGGCTGAGGGAGCTGAAACTCTTGCGAGATAATAATAAATAATTGTGATTAATTTTTGACAGGGTCTTTTAGCAGTTGAAAAAGTTAAGGAACCAAATTTAACATCTACAGTGCAAGAAACACCAGAAATGCATTATATAAAGGTCTATCACACTTCGATTAAATTGAATTTTAAATTTTCTTTACTGAACGTAACAAAATGTCATGCAAAAATGTGTCTGTTAAATTTTGAATTTTCTTATGTCAAAAAACATTCATTAGTCGAGCTCGTTCCAAAAGAGAATTATGTCTACCCAATGGTGGTGGTATTGTAAACATGAAGAAATGTACGAATAACATTTAGGGTTATTTCCAATGCGGTCGGTGGTCGTGTAAACCAGGTTTCGCATTACCCCCCAAGTGTCTCGTGCGTTTGTGGGCGACGTGTCGCAATCGTCTGGACGTTCGCCGCCTCCCCCTCCCGCTCCTCTCCATTGCGCTTTCTCTTCGCCCGAAAGGGCCGAGGCCCTTCACAAAGCGCTCTCGTTAGCTCCCACCCTCGTGCGCCCCGCACCACTCACTCCCCACGTTGTCGCGGCCGGATCCACACATTAGCGGGAGAGGGACGAAGATGTGTCCTTCTTGTCGTGCAGTGTTGGGGTTGGGGCTATGAAACGTTTAAGCTCCGTACTGAAGGAGGTCCCCTCCCAGAAGACTAAGATACATACTGAAAATATACTTCTACTAGTTTTCTATACAAACGAAAGTCATTTGATATTAACTATGAAGTCAGGCAATAAAAAAATCATTTTATATTTAGCATAAATGAAAACTTCTTTCGAAGAAAACATCACCTCCCCAATACACATCCGCTACAGAATAATCCTAGGTGCGCCTCTGCCTTTTTTTTGTGACAGCAAAACTACACCCGCGTAAGAATCCTGTGATTCAAATCAGTTTGCGATTAACTCGTGCAAAGAATGCTGTCGCATTTATCAAACGGACTGTTTACGTTACACATGTACGCTCTGGAATTGCCTCTCGCTATGGAAAGGCCGCGTCGTTTTATGACTATTGTGGGGCTATTTTAATCGGACTCCGACGGCAGCATACTTAACGGCAGGTAAACGGTTTCACAAGTCTGCTTTTTGGGCGATGACGCCCCAATCGTTGGACAGCATTGCAAGGGCTGATAATATATTTTACTGCACTCGTATTGCCTAGGAAAGTTTTACTTGTTTTGTTATGAGTAAAATAACGTTATGCCGGCTCTGCTAATGTACGCGTACATGAATGTACATGAAGCTCGGCGTGGACGCGAAGAAAAAGACCCGGCGAGCCATATCCACTGATGAGTTGACTAATATAAATGAGAAGTACGTTGTACAAAGCCCCGCCTCTTACCACTCTCAGTCAATGACTTATCGCCGAAGCTTACAGCATTGTGACTCTCCCTGATAGCGAAGGAGTGTAAATCACTATGCCCTCCTAAAGGCGCGTACACGTGCGAGTATTTGATTTGCTGTGCAATTTGCTGTTTATTAATGCAAGACGGTAGTGAAGCGATGGTACCTTACGAAACTAGTTTTGATTGACAAATAGGCATTATTACGTCTAGGTACGTCACCACTCTCACCAAAAATATATAAAATGTTTTGCTTGGAGCACAAGCACGCTGCAACCGAGCCGTGGTTTATTTGACCCTTTTTAAGCGGCTTTACAGAACAAATTCAGATTTCATTTTAATTTTAAAAAAAAATTTAAAAAATCGGAGGATACTAATCCTTGCCTGTCTCCGGCGACGGGCTTCTTGACTTCATTGGCTTTTAGAGGTGGTATTTGAAACGCAGACAATGCCTGATTACGAGAAACTTACATATTTAAGTTA